GAAGTCTATAGGCCTTGGGAAACTGCTACTCCCAGGACCCCATCGGAACTACAACTCCCAGCGTCCCATTGCATGGAGCCCATGGCGGTTCATATGACATCGAGTTCCATTCTTCCTGCAGAGAAGCCTATGGGCCTTGGGAAACTACTACTCCCAGGGTCCCTTAGAAACTACAACTCTCAAAGACAACGAGTCCATGGCAGTTCATATGGGGCCAAGCACTATTCTTCCTGCAGAGAAGCCTATGGGCATTGGGAAACAACTACTCCCAGGATCCCTTAGAAACTACAACTCTCAAAGACCGACTGCATCGGGTCCATGGCAGTTCATATGGGGTCAAGCCCCATTCTTCCTGCAGAGAAGCCTATGGGCCTTGGGAAACTACTACCCCCAGGACCCCATCGGAATTAAGCTCACAGGATCCCATCACATGGTGGTTCATGCAGGATCGAGATCCATTCTTTCTGCAGAGAAATCTATAGGCCTTGGGAAACGACTACTCCCAGGACCCCATCGGAACTACAAATCCTAGCGTCCCATGGCATGGAGCCCATGGCGGTTCATGAGAGATCGAGTTCCATTCTTCCTGCAGAGAAGCCTATGGGCATTGGGAAACTACTACTCCCAGGATCCCTTAGAAACGACAACTCTCAAAGACCGATTGCATCGAGTCCATGGCAGTTCATATGGGGTCAAGCACCATTCTTCCTGCAGAGAAGCCTATGGGCCTTGGGAAACTACTACTCCCAGGGTCCCTTAGAAACTACAACTCTCAAAGACAACTAGTCCATGGCAGTTCATAAGGGGCCAAGCACTATTCTTCCTGCAGAGAAGCCTATGGGTCTTGGGAAACAACTACTCCTGGGTCCCTTAGAAACTACAACTCTCAAAGACCGATTGCATCGAGTCCATGGCAGTTCATATGGGGTCAAGCACCATTCTTCCTGCCAAGAAGCCTATGGGCCTTGGGAAACTACTACTCCCGGAGTCCCTTAGAAACTACAACTCTCCAGATGTAGATTTTGGCTTTGTCTCTTAGACTATATAAGAGCCCAGCTCAGTTTGTTCTAAAGTAAGTTACACTTATTCTATTTAATTCCAGATAAGGACATATAGGATTGCTGCTGCTTTAGCTGATGCAATAAGTGTTTACTGAAGGTGTGTCCCTGCAGGTGTGTTGAGATGGAGTGGGTTGGGATAACGTGGGCGAAGTTTCATATACGAGGGTTGAATGAAAAGTAATGCCTCCACCTTCGTCACTTGGGTTTGGATGAGAATATTTTAATAAATCAAACGGAGAAATAGTCCTTAGAATGGGCTCTTTAACTACAACTATTCACTTTTCCACATAATCACCAGACAATTGGATACATTTTTGACAACAATGAACAAGTTTTCCCGAAGCCTTCACGGAAGAAGCCGATACTTTGTTTCCACAACCCATCGTGCACACATCTTCCGAAAGCCAAGCAAAGCAATAATGTAACCAACACATTCTTGTGAAATGCCGATTATGCTTGAAATTTCCTCACTGAGTGATACAACGATAGTCCTGAATCAATCTGTCAACCTTTTGCTTGTGAAACTCGGTGGTTGCTGTCACAGGACGTCCAACTCTTTGTTTGTCACGCAAGTCAGATGTTCCCACCTCAACATCGTTAAACTTACTCGCCCTACGACGCACAGTACTCACATCAACACAATCACCATAAACAGCTTGCATTCTCTGATGAACTTTAAAATGCCAAAACTTTTTCCCTAAGCACAATGCCAAGGACCAGATCTGTTTTCCATACAGCAGAACCTGACTCCCTGCACAAAATCCAAGACTCCAAAAGCACACTTCTTCCTCTTCCCTTGAGAAAGAAGCCCCAAAGTGACCAGACTGCTCCCGTGCAAATCTGCCACTCTCCATAAGTACACTATCTCTCTGCTTCCCATGGAGCAGAACACAGCGGGTGAAACACACTCCTCAGGTCTGCCACACTTTGAGCATTATTAGACTGAGTCTTTTATAGGAATATTCTGCTGATGTAGTCCCAAAGTGTAAATTAATGATTGACATCTTCCATCTTGGATCCATCTCAGTTTCCTGGCCAGATGTTGATCTTCTTGAATGGTGTTGATCCTATGTTGACTTCCTTCTTAACATAAGGAATGCTGCAAACATTTTCTTAACTTGAAAGAACCATTGTCACAGTTCTTATAAATTCTCATTAGCAGGTTTTGATCACAGTTCCAGCAAGCAGGTAGTTATTCATTGCGGGCCTTAATATTATAGTGGTGTTTCCAAAATTATTAACTCCAACCACACATTCTTCCATTCATTTCCGTACATCATATTAAATTCATATTTGTCTAATCTGCACATTGATTTTTTGTGTGTCAGAATCTCCTCATATGAACCGCCATGGGCTTAATGCAATGGGCCCTTGAGAGTTGTAGTTTCCCAAGGCCCATAGGCTTCTTAGTGGAAGGAATGGAGCTCAACCATGGACTCCATGCAATGACACCTTCTGCTGTCAAGAATTCAATGACTGCACATTGCTTAAGTCTCATTGACCAACTGTCTTTGCAGGGTTCCATACTTCACACTTTAACAACACAACCGTTCAATGCTAAGGCTTCCCACCAATATGGAACTGTAGTGGAGAGTCTACTGAACAAGCCAGTACCTGCTGCATACCAGTACTGCCATCTGTTGAGGAGTTACGAAGGTGGAGGCATTACTTTTCATTCAACCCTCTCTATATCATCAGTATTATACAACCTGATGTGCATTATTTCAAGCTGTAGCCTCACAGTTACAGTACTACAATACCACATGAACGGTGTGAAAAGTCTGGGAGATAGTAGATACAATTAACCAGCTCTCATGGCGATTTACTCTACGGTCACCAGCTTTTTTTTTCCACGTCAGGAGTGACTTGAGAAACCTTGAGTCACTTCTGGTATGAGAGAATTGACCGTTTGCAAGGATGTTGCCCAGGGGATGCCCGGATGTTTTGATGTTTTACCATCTTTGTGGGAGGCTTCTCTCATGTTCCAGCATGGGGAGCTGGAGCTGATAGTTGGAGCTCACCCACACTCTCCCCGGATTCAAACCTCCGACCTGTCAGTCTTCAGTCCTGCCAGCACAAGGGTTTAATCCATTGTGCCACCAAGGGCTTCTTGTCACCAGCTGATCACTATGTACATTTTCATTGGGAACCAGAGGTCTATGGAGAAATGCAATGGTACCTATAGTAGCCACACATACGAGTTTACAACCCACTATAAATAGCATTCAAGAGTGTTTTGACTTTTGCTGGAGCTTGCTGTGCATTAAGCACCTGCTGTGTTCATTCAAAATGAAGTCTGCCTGATTTCAATGGTGTGCATTCCCACTGAAGCACGCACGAGATTAAAGTCTGGTTGGACCATGAGGGCTATTTCAGGGTCAAAACTAACAATAATTAGGAAAAATATGAATTGTCTTTTGAATTGCCTAAGGAAACTATTTTTTAGAAAAAGAAAAAAAAACTGGCTCTACTGGCTGGGACCAGTAGAACAAAAAAAAAGCAAGCTTGGGACCACGACCATACATGGGAAATTCAGGAATAGTCTGGAGCCACGCCAGGTCTCAAAAAAGGCAGGAACACGTTTAAATACAATGTAAGGGGTAGCTGACGATGTCCATTTAAGGCCGCATCTACACTATCAATTTAATGCAGTTTCACACCACTTTAATCGACATGGCTCAATGCTATGGAATCATGGGATGTTGCAGTTTTACATGGTCTTTAGCCTTCTCTGGCATCTCACCAAACTACAAATCCCAGGAGCACATAGCAATGACAGAGCAGTGGACTTTTATCCCATGCCCTGTTCTATAGCTACAATTTGCACTATCCCATTCCCTTGTCTAGTTTACAGTTTGCCCATGTCTTATGTTAGTTGTCACTATAGATCACTTGGCAGTTTTTAAAATTGTTGTTTTTATATGCTATAGTTTTTATTTTATTGTCCTGTGTGTTTATTTTACGCTTTGTCTTAGGCACTTTGTGCTATATGTAAGCCGCCCCGAGTCCCTTCAGATAGATGGAAGCGAGGTACAATAATAAAGTTGTTGTTATTTAAGTAAGGAACACGCGACAAGCCAACCCCAATCGGGAAACCGATGCCCTCACTGCAGGAGAAGATGCAGATCAAGGATTGAGCTACACAGTCACCTATGGATCTACCGCCAGAACACCGAACTTAGAGGTTTTGTTCTCCCAACCCTGCGAGATGTGGACAGTCTACAGACGTCATATGCAACCCCTGGAACGATTCCATCAGCACTGCCTCTGAAAAATCCTGCAAATCTCTTGAGAAGACAAGCGGAGAAATGTCAGCATGCTGGAAGAAGCAAAGACCACCAGCATTGAAGCGATGGTCCTCCGCCATCAATTCCGCTGGACCGGCTACGATGTCTGGATGCCCGACCACTGTCTCTCAAAGCAGTTGCTCTACTCTGAACTCAAGAACGGAAAACGGAATGTTGGATGACAGGAAAAGTGATTTAAAGATGGGCTCAAAGCCAACCTTAAAAACTCTGGCATAGACACTGGGAACTGGGAAGCCCTGGCCCTTGAGCACTCCAGCTGGAGGTCAGCTGTGACCAGCAGTGATGTAGAATTTGAAGAGGCACAAATGGAGGACGAAAGAGAGAAATGTGCCAAGAGGAAGGCGCGTCAAGCCAACCCTGACCAGGACCGCCTTCCACCTGGAAACCGATGCCCTCACTGTGGGAGAAGATGCAGATCAAGAATAGAGCTCCACAGTCACTTACGGACCCACTGCCAGGACACTACACTTGGAGGACCGTCATCCTCGGACTACAAGGGATCGCCTAAGTGTGTGTGTGTGTGTATCCAAGGACATAGTCAAAAGGCCATTCTGGTCATTATCGCACATAAGTCTACTTTACTTATTGCAAAGCTTCTAAGAGTTTTAAAAATGAATTCTCCTAAGATTACCTGGTTCTACTGTCGCTGGAAGGAAAGGTTTCCCAAAATGAGAGTCTTGGACTGCGGTTTGTGCCACTCTTTTGCCAAGATCAGGCAAAGGATGATCTGGATGATGCTGTTGATGATGAAGGCGAGCTGAATCGCTTCCCAGATGTCCAGCCCATTGAGGGGAGAGAGATCTCACAGCTGGGGCCGATGGTTTGCTTGAGGGAGGTTGCACTTCAGGCTCCGCAATGAGCAAATCCCTCATCTCCATCAGCTCTTGCCATGTGTACTGGGACGTTGGAAGCAGACTCTTCCCCCTCCAAGGAGTCTTGACCTGTATCGGCCCTGATTAAAAAAGCCTGTAATAAAATATGCTCAGGCAAAGACTTTGGAAAGCTTCTAAGCAAAAGCGGTTCCCCTATTTCATAAGCATATGAATTGGGAATGTTGGTGTGATTTTCTGTATTGTTACGTGTGCATTTGTGGAATTTCCCAGAACATACAGTGTGTCCTTGGTATCCACAGGAGTTTGGTCCTAGGACTCATTATGGATACCAAATAAGGCAGATGCCGAGGTCCATAATAATCACATTGGGGTATGATGGTGGTCGTGGCAGCAAGCCCTGGGTGCTAAGTGTGCCTTCTTCAGTCTCCCCCCCCCCTTTTGCAGAGTATACAAGCTGTGGAAATGGCAGATTTCGGGAGGCTACTGTGTTATTACAATATTGTGCTTTGTATTTCACACTGCAGTTTGAATCCTAAATTGGCAAAAACAGTGTCTTGATTCAGTAGGAGTCAGTGTGTTGTAATGATGTGAGTGTTGGACTGTGACTGCAGATCTGGGTTTGAATTGCTGCTTAGCCATGGAGATCCATGGGTTGATATTGGTTGAGTCACGCATCCCGAGCAGAAGTCAAAAGGCACATCTACACTTCAGAAATTAATGCAGTTTGACATCATTTTAACTGCCATGGTCAATGACGTGGAATCATGGAAGATGCAGATGGGTGGATCATTTCTATCCATTTCTATCCATTTCCTTAATCAATAATGTTCATCCTGTTTGACGATTCTAAGCTGATTTTTCCACTTGCAAGCTGGTTCATTAAGATAGGCCAAATTTACAAAATACATATAGAATTTCTACTATCCAAATTACAGAAGTTGTTTAGTGAAATACTAAGGAGAAATTATATACCAAACTTTTGGAAGTATAACAGGATAATATTAATTCCTAAACCAGATAAAGATAAATTATTATTGTACTCTTACTGTCCCATCTCACTTACAATGGGTAGCAATTCAATGGCGTCAACAAGCAATAGAAAATAGACATGAACATTAAAACAACATTAAAAACAATAAAACATGAAACCCAATTTTAAAATCACATAATCCGAGGACGTAGTCAAAAGATCGTTCTGGATGTTACAGCACATAAGTCTACTTATTTTAAAGCTTCTATGAGCTTTATTAAATAATTCTCCTAAGCCTACCTGGTTCTCGTGTCTCCGGAAGGCAAGGTTTTCCAAAATGAGAGTCTTGGACTGCAGTTTGTGCCGCTCTTTCGCCAGGGTCAGGCGTTGGATGATCTGGGAGCTGCTGTTGATGATGAGGGTGAGCTGAATCGCTTACCAGATGTCCGACCCATTGAGGGGAGAGAGATCTCACAGCTGGGGCCAATGGTTTGCTTGAGGGAGGTTGCACTTCAGGCTTGGCAATGAGAAAATCCCTCATCTCCGTCAACTCTTGCCATGGGTACTGGGACTTTGGAAGCAGAGTCTTTCCCCTCCGAGGAGTCTTGGTCTGTATCAGCCCTGATAAAAAAAGCCTATAATAAAATATGCTCAGGCAAAGCTTCTAAGCAAAAGGGATTCCCCCATTTCATAGGCATATGAATTGGGAATGTTAGTGTGTTTTTCTGTATTGTTATGTGTGCATTTGTTGAATTTCCCATGAGCACCCCCCCCCCCCCCCCCCCCCCCCCCCCCAGAGTTGGGCATGACTAGACTTAATGTTAAGGGGAAACATTTACCTTTACATGCACTCAAAGGCAAAAATCCCTCTGAACAAGAAAAATTAGAGGTTCATTTTAGGGTTGCCATAAGTCAGAAATGACTTGAAGACACACAGCAACATTACTGATGCAGCAATACAAAATTGCCAGATATGGTTTAAGGGGCACTTCAATCTTTTGAGATTATTTTGGGTTCAAGATGAAAAGCATCACCTTTCTTTTGTTCCATTTCAGGTAGTAATCGTTATTGGCTTAACATTGTAGGCAGTCATATATATATTTAATTCTCAGTCTCGGTAACAGTGTATAGTCCGCTTTGCAAAAGCAGTAAACGAAAAATGTGCTTGGTCTCTGTGTCAATAAAATCCTTAATTGAATACTAAACCAAAATAATGCAAGGGATGCTCTAGAAATCTCCCTTTATGTGGGCGCCCTCTAGAGGGGAAAGTGGCCTATGAGGGCTGAACTGAATCTTTAGAACTACATCTCCCACTAGCCTACAGGGAAATGTCTACCTCTGCCCCTTCTCTCTTTTGTGTGGATGTGTTTGTAGCATTTACCAGATTCGGGTGCTTTCCTTTGAACACCTGAAATGCCAGAGCTTTTCACTGGGATCACCTTGGCAATGGGAATATTTGGGAAGACCTGTGAAGTTACGGCAGGGAGGCTTGTGTTGTGTTCTTCTGTCCTTGCTTCTGTGATGGAAATAAAAAGGGATGAAACAGTGAAAATCAAAGATCGAAGCCAGAGAGAGTAACAGTTCTTTAAATGAAATGACATACCTTGTGTACCAACACATTTCGTTATTATAATTCATGTATGTGTCTAATAAAGCTGAATTACTATGTCGTGAAATGATGTCTGCTGTGCATTAATTCATTAGATAGCTAGGCCCTGTTAACTTTCCTACTGAAATATTGTGATCGGAGGTGACCCCCCCCCCCTTTTCCAGGACTCTAAAAGATAGTTCAAAATCAGGGAATTCAGTTTTGCCAAGGACACCAGGCTGAATTGATCCCATAATCCCCCATCTCTCCGCTTGTTTTTATGAATGGACTCCGACTATTCAGTGCTCCCCTGAGCTTCCATGCACCCCTCTTATGAGTTCTTATGAACTTTCATGAACTTTATATGAATTTCTATAGACTCTTGCCAAACGTTATGAACTTTTATGGACTTTGGAGGGGGGGCCTGAAGTGGCTTCCCCTTAGACCCTGCACCGGGATTGTGGCACAACTGGCTGAGTGTCAGCTGCATTAAGATCACTCTGACCAAAAGGTCATGAGTTTGAAGCCAGCCCAGGTCGGAGTGAGTGTCCGACCAATTGTGTAGCTTGTTGTCGACCTTTGCAACCCGAAAAACAGTTGCATCTGTCAAGTAGGAAAATTAGGTACCACCTATGTGTGGGGTGGCTAACTAATTTATGAGACCATTAAAAAGACTCCAGCAAAAGCACTCCAGCAAAGCATGCGGGGAATGCGGAAGTACTTCATCAGTGTCGCAGATGGACGATGAAAGCGACAGCTCCCCTGGTGGCCAGAAAAAGTTAAATAGCCTCTGTGTATGTCTATATACGTTGTATGTCTAATTGGCATTGAATGTTTGCCATATATGTGTACATTGTAATCCGCCCTGAGTCCCCTGCGGGGTGAGAACGGCGGAATATAAATGCTGTAAATAAATAAATAAATAAATAAATAAATATTCCCCCTTTTCTTATGAACTTTGTGTATGGTCCCTTGCCCCATTCCTCATTCCCTATATTTATGTATGTCTATATAAGAAAATATGAAGAAAAGCAACTTTTTCATGAACCAGCAACTCATGGCTCTTGGAGTTTCCAAACCTGCTGAGCTGATAATCCCCTAACAAAGGACTCAACAAGATCCATTTGCATGGACAACAGATAAATGACTCTATGTATCTGGATCTTGGGGGGCTGATAGCCAAGCCATCCAGATTAATGGAGTCTATGGACATATTGGATCGCCCAACACAAAGGACATTTCCTCATCTGCGAGGAACTGGGGATTTGTCACTGCCTCCTTGGTGTGCCACACCTGGATCTCCGAAACTCATCTCTGTTTCATCAATGAACTCCATATCGCAGGATAGCAAAAACAAAGGACCTGACCTCTCGGGGCCAAACAAAAATGTTAATTCAAGAAACAGAACAATAACTCAGACCGGGCTTGAGATCCTGAATCTATCGCTGGGTCATTTGGCAAACACCGGCCATTCTTAGTCCATTCACCTAGACATTTCTTCATTGTTTCCCTATTGCCCACCTCCCTTCCACCTCATTGGCTGGGCGGCCAAAATCAGGGCCCGGGCCCTCATTGGATCTCCTCCTGGCTTGCTGACGTCACAGCCAATCATAACAAAGCCAGCTCAGGGGGTGGGGGGTGGGCATGGGAACTTTTAAACCTGAAGGCTATAAATATTGTGTTTTCCTTCCAGTGAGTTATGTCGGCTCCTGGGTCATCATCCGTTCCAGCTGGAATGAAATAAACATCTCGGTGGTTTTCCTTCAACTTGGTGAGATTTTATTTTGGGAAAAATTAGCAAATCTTCTTTGGTGCTTGCTGTCTTGCCAAGTGTTCCGGATCCTCTTTTTGGGTCTGGCCGGTCTCTGCCTAGGCAGGGCCCCCCAAATTTGTGTTCGACATCAATTTGTAGTTCTTTGAATAAGGTCTTGTATAACTCTTAAGCTTGACTCTGCTCCTGTATTGCCTAAGCTCAAATCTCTCTACTTCTGGCACTAGAAGTGTGCCATCACACCCAGACCCTATAACATTAAAACTAAGATGTGCTTCTCTCTTTTTCTAGGTGAACCGCTAGGGTTTTTTCTTTGAAGCAATAATTCAATACTTTCAGCAACTGATGCCAGTCAAGATATGAATATCAACAAAATGTTTATTTCCAAAGTCCTTGGCAGACTTGACACAAACAGTCAATTTGAGAAACCAGAGATGTTCTTTCTTTCCCTTTTTCTTCAATTACTGAGGTAACCTTTCTCCAAATGGTAGAAAAAATCCTGAGATATTTCATCCTAACCCTGAGCTGCTATGGCTAGAAAGAACAGGTCTTCCCCTATCTAAGCACAAGGTCAGTTTTGGAGATGAAGTAATGCTCAATAGTACTCAATAACTATTTCTCTCTATTTCTCAATAACTCAATAACTATCTCAATATCTTAATATATCTCTCTATATAACTCAATAGTACTCACAATGGGTTTTTCAGAGCTCCCTGCCTGACCAACAGCACATCTGAGGTTCTTTTCTCAACTAAAGGAGGCAGGGAAGATTCCAAAATTGAGATCTCAACCCCAGGAAAAAGGGTGGATTCCAAACCCAAAGAGATACTTTCTAAACGAATGACTGCAGATTGGCCTGCAGCCTGGTTTTCCAGACTCTGATACCATTTAACTTCCAGGGTGCTGCTGGGTCTATAGCAACCCTGGGGAAATGCAAAGGAATGCTATCCCATGCAGCTAAAAGGCAATGCAAACCATGCTCTTGGAAGACGGAACAAGAAGCTTCTGAACTGCTGCTGCTGTTGATTTGCTTTCTGAATGCTTTTTCCTTTTTTGGAAATGATCCCCTAACAGTTCTTGCTGCTGTCTTGTCCACTAGGGATGAGATGGCTTAGGAAGAGAGGGATTAAGATCTGTTGTTTCCCTTGGTTTTGCTTCCTCTGTCAGCCACATGTCCAAACAGTATTCTGGGCAGACTGCATTGTATGGATGTAGGAGCATCTATGCTAGACTGTAGAATAAATACAGTTTGATGCCACTTTAACTGCCATGTCTCAATGTTATGCCATCATGGGTGGCACCAACCCCCTTTAGCAAAGAAGACTGAAGACCTTGTAAAACGACATCTCCCAGGATTCCATATCACGGAGCCATAGCCATTAATGAGGTGCCAAACTTCATTCATTCAACAATATAGAAGTGCTCGAAAACAGATTTAATTACTTGACTATCCTCTGTTGCAAAAGGAAATGAACCAGCCCAGACTAAACCCTCTGCCCTCTTCTTGTTTGCTCTTCGATCAGGAAGGTCGTGTTGAAACATGTCTAACTTTCATGCTTCTCTCTTTTATTTATTTATTTATTTATTTATTTATTGCATTTGTTGACCGCCGCTCTCAGCCCTAGGGCGACTCGCGGCGGTGTACAACATATAAAAACAGTTTACAGTAAAGCACAATAAGAAATCAACATATCAAAAGACAAGCTAATCTAAATTACACTAACTAATCCGCTCCGTCACATCAGAATCATAACCAATCTCATAATCCATATTCCGTTCCAGTTGTCGTTACCAGTTAATGTAGCATTTAGTTTAATGCCTTCTCAAATAGCCAGGTCTTTAGGCTCTTACGGAAAGCCATAAGGGAGGGCGCCTGTCTGATGTCAACAGGGAGGGTGTTCCACAGCCGGGGGGCCACCACCGAGAAGGCCCTCTCTCTCGTCCCCGCCAGACGCGCCTGTGAGGCAGGCGGGATCGAGAGAAGGGCCTCCCCAGACGATCTCAAGGCCCTCGTGGGCTCATAGGCCGAGATGCGGTCCGAAAGGTATTTTGGGCCGGAACCGTTTAGGGCTTTGTAGGATAACACCAGCACCTTAAATTGGGCCCGGTAGCAGATTAGTTTAGAAATGATCACGCCATTTCTCTCCATTTGCTTAATAAATGTTCATCCTGTTTGACGATTCCAAGCTGATTTTTCCACCTGCAAACTCGTTCATTAAGATGAGTCAATTTGCAAAATTTATACAGAATTTCTACTACCCAAATTATAGAAGTTGTTTAATGAAATACTGAGGGGAAATCCTATACCAAACTCAGGGAAATATACCAGGATAATATTAATTCCTAAACTAAGTAAAGATAAATTATTATTAGACTCCTATCGTCCCATCTCACTAATTAATCAAGACATCAACATTTTCTCGGCAATTTTGGCAAATATTTCAGCCAATTTATTAATTTATTTAACTAGCTATCTATTTTCTATATTGATATCCCGCCCTTCTCAACTTTGAAGGGGGCTCAGGGCAACCTGACAATCGGCAGCAATTCAATGCCGTCAACAGGCAACAGAAAATAGACATGAACATTAAAACAACATTAAAAACAATAAACATTAAACATAATTTTAAAATCACATAATCCGAGGACATAGTCAAAAAGCCATTCTAGTCGTTATCGCACATAAGAATACCTTACATATCGCAAACTTTCTAAGAGCGTTATTAAATAATTCTCCTAAGCCTACCTGGTTCTCGTGTCTCCGGAAGGTGAGGTTTCCCAAAATGAGAGTCTTGGACTGCGGTTTGTGCCGCTCTTTTGCCAAGTTCAGGCGTTGGATGATCTGGAAGCTGCTGTTGATGATGAGGATGAGCTGAATCGCTTCCCAGATGTCCAGTCCATTGAGGGGAGAGAGATCTCACAGCTGGGCCTGATGGTTTGCTTGAGGGAGGTTGCACCTCAGCCTCCGCAAGGAGCAAATCCCTCATCTCCGTCAGCTCTTGCCATGTGTACTGGGACTCATCTGTGGACTTCGGAAGCAGACTCTTCCCCCTCCAAGGAGTCTTGGCCTGTATCGGCCCTGATAAAATGAGCCGATAATAAAATATGCTCAGGTAAAGACTTTGGAAAGCTTCTAAGCAAAAGGGGTTCCCCCATTACATAGGCATGTGAATTGGGAATATTATTGTGCTTTCCTGTATTGTTATGTGTGCATTTATGGAATTTCTCGGAACATACATTGGTTCCTTGGTATCCACAGGAGTTTGGTCCCAGGACTCTTTATGGATACCAAGTAAGACAGATGCTAAGGTCCATGATAATCACCTCGGGGTACGATGGTGGTGGTGGGTGCCAAGTGTGCCTTCTTCAGTCACCCCCACCTTTGCCGAGTATTCAAACTATGGAAATGGCAAACTTCTGGAGTCAGTGTGTTGTAATGATTTGAGTGTTGGACTGTGACTGCAGATCTGGGTTTGAATTGCTGCTTAGCCTACCTGGTTGTGGCGTCTCTGGAAGGTGAAGTTTCCCAAAAGGAGCGGTTTGTGCCGCTCTTTTGCCAAGGTCAGGCGTTGGATGATCTGGGAGCTGCTGTTGATGATGAGGGTGAGCTGAACCGCTTCCCAGATGTCCAGCCCATTGAGGGGGGAGAGATCTCACAGCTGGGCCTGATGGTTTGCTTGAGGGAGGTTGCACTTCAGCCTCCGCAAGGAGCAAATCCCTCATCTCCGTCAGCTCTTGCCATTTGTACTGGGACACTGGAAGCAGAGTCTCCCCCCTCCGAGGAGTCTTGGCCTGTATCGGCCCTGATAAAAAGAGCCAATAATAAAATATGCTCAGGCAAAGACTTTGGAAAGCTTCTAAGCAAAAGGGATCCCCCCCATTTCATAGACATGTGAATTGGGAATATTAGTGTGCTTTCTGTATTGTTATGTGTGCATTTGTGGAATTTCTCAGAACATACATTGGGTTCTCGGTATCCACAGGAATTTAGTCCCAGGACTCTTTATGGATATCAAATAAGGCAGATGCTGAGGTCCATGATAATCACATCAAGGTACAATGGTGGTCATGGCAGCAAGCCCTGGGTGCCAAGTGTGCCTTCTTCAGTCTCCCCCACCTTTGTGGAGTACACAAGCCGCAGAAATGGCAGATTTCTGGAGGCTACTTGTGTTATTATAATATTGTGCTTTGTATTTTGTATGCAGTTTGAATCCTAAATCTGCAGAAACAGTGTTTTGATTCAGTAGGAGTCAGTGTGATGTAATGATTTGAGTAGGTTCTTGTGGGTTTTTTCGGGCTATAGGGCCATGTTCTAGAGGCATTTCTCCTGACGTTTCGCCTGCCTCTAGAACATGGCCCTATAGCCCGAAAAAACCCTCAAGAACCTAGTGATTCCAGCCATGAAAGCCTTCAACAATACAATGATTTGAGTGGTGGACTGTGACTGCAGATCTAGGTTTGAATTACTGCTTAGCTATGGAGACCCACTGGTTGATATTCAATGAGTCACACTTCCTGAGCAGAAGTCAAAAGACACATCTACACTTCAGAAATTATTGCACGCTGACACCATTTTGACTGCCATGGCTCAGTGCTGTGGAATCATGGAAGATGCAGTTGGGTGAGGCAAAAAGACTGTCTGAAAAAAAGCACTCTCTGAAAAAAAAACCCTTGTAAAGCTGTAACTCCCTTGATTTCATAGCACTGAACCATGACAGGTAAAGTGGTGTCAAACTGCATTAATTCGACAATGTACATGCACTCAATAGGATTCGTGGGGGCGTAATGGATTAAACCACTGAGCTGCTAAACTTGCTGACTGGAAGGTCGCCAGTTTGAATCTGGAGATGAGGTGAGCTCCTGTTGTTAGCCCCAGCTTCTGCCAACCTGGCAGTTTGGAAACATATAAGGGTGAGCATGTATTTATTTATTTATTTCTGGTATTTCTACCCCATTTCTTCTCAACCCCTGAAGGGGGACTCAGGACGGCTTACATTTGGAAGCAATTCGATGCCGCTACATATAACAAGCAATATAATAACAATTAAAACAATAAATAGAACATTTATTAAAAACAATAAAAACAGCATCAACAGCCATATCATCATTCCAGTCGAATTCCATATCCAAAGTGCTAATTATGCTTGCTGTCCAAAAGGTTGGAAGCTGCTTTAGGTTTGGTATTAGGAAAAGGCTTTATTATGTTTGCTTTTAGATATTTTAATCTGAACAATGTTTTTCTCTCTCAAATGTATTAGAGGGAAGGATCAGCAGGGGGGGGGGGGGGGGGCTTGAGGGCCTTCAGCCCCCCCCCCCCCCGAAATTCTCATGGTGGTTCGCGAAAAGGCCCTACTGGTGCATTATTTAAACTGTTTTTATTCATATCATGATCTGATCACCATACTCAATATATCCCATATGCATGGGGGTATTGGGGTAACGATACAAAAGGTTTGCTAGGGTAGACCCTCTTTCACTCAGACTCAGCCCCCCTGAAACTCAGCCCCCCCAAAACCCCCCCTGAAAAAAATTCAGCCCCCCCCCCCGAAACAAAATCCTGGCTACGGGCCTGGTGCTCCATGCAGTCATGCTGGCCACATGCAGTTCAGAAACATGCAAATGTGAGTACATCAATAGGTACCGTCTCGTTGGGAAGGTAATGGCACTCCATCCTCAGTCTCTGTAACAGTGTATAGTGCGCTTTGCAAAAGCAGTAAACCAAGAATGTGCTTGGTCTCTGTGTCAATAAAATCCCTAATTGAATTCTAAACCAAAATAACGCAAGGGATGATCTAGAAATCCCTCTTTATTTGGGCGTCCTCTAGAGAGGAAAGTGGCCTGTGAGGGCTGAACTGAATCTTTAGAACTACATCTCCCACCAGCCTACAGGGAAATGTCTACCTCTGCCCCTCTTCCCTTTTGTGTGGATGTGTTTGTAGCATTTACCAGATTCAGGTGCTTTCCATTGAACACCTGAAATGCCAGAACTTTTCACTGGGATCACCTCGGCAATGGGAATATATGGGAAGACCTGTGAAGTTACAGCAGGGAGGCTTGTCTTGTGTTCCTCTGTCCTTGCTTCTGTGAGGGAAATAAAAAGGGATAAAACAGTGAAAATCAAAGATCGAAGCCAGAGAGGGTAACATTTCTTTAAATGCAATGAAATAAACATCTCGGTGGTTTTCCTTTAACTTGGTGAGATTTTATTTTGGGAAAAATTAGCAAATCTTCTTTGGTGCTTGCTGTCTCTCAAGGTGTTCCAGATCCTCTTTTTGGGTCTGGTCGGTCTCTGCCTGGGCAGGGCCCCCCAAATTTGTGTTCGACATCAATTTGTAGTTCTTTGAATAAGGTCTTGTATAACTCTTGCTAGGTGCAAAGATTACTGCAGATGCAGACTGTGGCCAGGAAATCAGAAGACGCTTATTTCTTAGGAGGAGAGCAATGTCCAGTCTCGATAAAATCGTAAAGAGTAGAGACATCACACTGGCAACAAAGATCCGCCTAGTCAAAGCCATGGTATTCCCTGTAGTAACCTACGGATGTGAGAGCTGGACCTTAGGGAAGGCTGAGCAAAGGAAGATAGATGCTTTTGAACTGTGGTGTTGGAGGAAAGTTCTGAGAGTGCCTTGGACTGCGAGAAGATCCAACCAGTCCATCCTCCAGGAAATAAAGCCCGACTGCTCACTGGAGGGAAGGATACTAGAGACAAAGTTGAAGTACTTTGGCCACATCATGAGGACACAGCAAAGCCTAGAGAAGACAATGATGCTGGGGAAACTGGAAGGCAAAAGGAAGAGGGGCCAACCAAGGGCAAGATGGATGGATGGCATCCTTGAAGTGACTGGACTGACCTTGAAGGAGCTGGGAGTAGTGACGGCCGACAGGGAGCTCTGGCGTGGGCTGGTCCATGAGGTCACGAAGAGTCGGAGACGACTGAACGAATGAACAACAACAACATAACTCTTAAGCTTGACTCTGCTCTTGTATTGCTTAAGCTCAAATCGCTCTACTTCTGGCACTAGAAGCTTCTGAACCGCTGCTGCTCTTGATTTGCTTTCTGAATGCTTTTTCCTTTTTCGGAAATGATAAATGCCCTCAGCGGGCCGGATCCGGCCCCCGGGCCGTAGTTTGAGGACCCCTGGTCTAGCATATTAAAATATCTTTGAAATGCTCTTTTTAATCCTTATCCAGCTATGAGACTGATGGTTGACCTTGGGCAAGTCACATTTTCTCAGCCTTAGAAGAAGGCAGTGGAAACCGTCTTCTGCACAGTCTTTCCAAGAAAACCCTGTTATAGAGTTGCCATGGGTTAGAAATGACTTGAAAGCAGACAGCAATAAAAATTACAAGTAAAGTGTTCTTAATTTTCACTGCATAGCATAACCCACTTCCCTGATGAAACCTACCTTCATTTCCATTGTTAGAACAATATTCCTCAGTTCTGGGAGAGTGGTCATATTCTGTTAAGCATATCCTTTTAAAGTTGAGACCTGAAAGCAACAGAACAAATTTGGGAAAGCTTAGAATGATGCTGGAGGTTGTCTACTATGCCCTAAGACATGATGCAACCTCCTTCTACAGGGTGCAGCAGCATAACTTCCTTTTTTCAAAACTGAATAAAACCCATTGTATGAATCAGATTTTTTTTAATAATGTAGGCGCATACCTAAAGTTTTGTTTTACGTAGTTTTGAAGATCAAATTAGGTAGGTGACGTCCCCCATTCTCCATACACTGAGTAAACCGATTTCTAGTGTTTGTCATGACTCTTGCCAGCATAGCAGGCGTTATGTTGGCAATTTCTTCCTGGATGTTGGTCTTCAAGTCTTGTAGGGTCCCTGGACGGTTTACATAAACACGAGATTTCAAAAACCCCATAGAAAAAAAATCACAAGGGGCCAAATCTGGAGAGAGGACTGGCCACTCCAAATCCCCCCCAATTGAGATGAGGCGCTCAGGGAAGTGTTCCTTCAAAATAGCCACCGATGCTCTTGAAGTGTGTGCAGTTGCACCGTCTTGTTGGAACCAAATGTCCCCTAAGTCCAACCCATCTAGCCGTGGGAAAAAAAAATTCCTGTAACATGTTTACATACCAGTCTGAATTCACTGTCACTGCGACTTCATACCTCAAAGAACTAGGGACCAATAATTCCAGCTGAGGAAATTGCACACCACACTGTGATTTTAGGTGAATGCAAAGGTCTTTGATGCAATTCTCGAGGATTGTTGCCAGCCCAGTAGCGCATGTTTTGTTTGTTGATGGATCAACACAAATGAAAATGGGCTTCATCACTAAAAAAAACCAATAGCACCCTTAGGAACGACTTCGAGAAGAACCTCACACACATTCCTCCGAGAACTGAAGTCACGTTCAGACAGTTCCTGCACAATCGTCATCTTCTAAGGATGGAAATGAAGATCATCATGAAGAATTCTCCTCACAGAACCATCAGAAAGTCCAAGGGCAGACGCATGTTTGCGCGCAGAACGCCTTGGTGATCGCAACATTGAAGCTCTCACTTGAAGCTCTCAAGTGACCTAATGGGCCGAGGGACTCCAGTTCTTCATTTTGTCGTACTTGCAGTTTGTCTGAATGTAGTGACCCACGTCACAATTGATTTCTGGACCGGGACAGGGGCCAATGGGGCTAAATTAAAGCAATTCCGAAAGGCGCGTTGGGTTGCAATCACAGAACAGGCGCTCGAAAAGTAGGCCTCAACGCCAAAAGCACGCTCCTCACTGTTGCAACGCATGATGGCGACTGAACTGTGTCATGACAAAACTTTATACTCGCGCATCCCGAACGCTCCGCTACGTCTTCAACCGACTGAATGGTGCGCATTTAAAAAAAGGAAGTTATGCTGCTTCACCCTGTACATTGCCCTTTATTCCAGAATTTGATCCCATATTATCTGCTTTAAACTGGATTATATGAGTCTCCACTGCCAGATAATCTGGGATCAGAAAATCTGGGATCAGATCCTGGGATATAAGGAGAGTGTGGAAGGAGCCTTAGACACTGCGCATCCATGGCATACATCTCTACTCACTTGTAAGAGTTATCCTGCCTTCCAAATTGTATTCCCCAGCAGAGTAGGCAGTGGCAAGGGGAACTATTGCAACAACATTTGAAGAGCTGAACGATCTCCACTCTGCATTAATAATGCCACTCCTCCTCCAGTTTACTTCTCTATCCTTACCCCAACCTGCCAGGTACGGAAATCTGTCTAAAATCGTTCTCACCTGCTTGCTGCGAGATGTGGTTTTCCGTGGTTCCAGAATTCCTGTAGGCCTCTGGGGTGATGTATTGGATGGTCCTTGAATCTGTGTAAGTAGAAATATGTATAGATATGGGACATTTGTCTTTGACAGAGCTACTTCTGGGTTTTGCCCGTTTCTTCTCACTTGGCTCAGTTGTTGGGGCACCTACTACAGAACCCTGCTGCTTCAGCTTGTTCTCATATTCATGGATTTTCTTCTCATAGAGTTTCCGGGTTGATGCTGAAGAAAGGAAACCAGAAAGGCCATTAAACCACCAGTTAGGAAGGTTTAGAATACCCTCCCCTGCCTGTCTTGCACTTCCAACAAGTTCTTGACATTTCTGATGACTGTGAATCGCCTCCCTTTGACAACCTTGGCTATTTTCTCTACTACGTACCACTGGTGGAAATTATATGCTGTTGTTTCCTAGTTGTCTGGGAAATTCTGGATTCCTGCTCCTGCACTACATGTTTTGCTTCTTTCAAACATTTTATGTGGCTTTTGTAACCTTCCATTCTTTGCAAATTCAAAGAGCTGGCTTTAGCCTATAAAGCCCTAAACCAGTGGTTCTCAACCTGGGGTCCCCAGATGTTTTTGGCCTACAACTCCCAGAAATCCCAGTCAGTTTACCAGCTGTTAGGATTTCTGGGAGTTGAAGGCCAAAAACATCTGGGGACCCTGTCAGGATTTATTGAGATATAATTGTGTGTTTTAAATGTAATTCTTGTATTACCAATATGGATGCCACTTAGAGTGTAATGCTATGCTGAAATGTTTATGTTGAGGCTGTGATTGAGTGACCTTAAGAAAAGCTCTCTGCTGCTGGGAACATTTAGGGAGTTAACCACTTGGAGCAGAAGAGCTAAGCAGCTGCAAAAGAACTGTTTTGACTTTCAGTTTTCCTGTTGTGTTCCTGTGTGTTGCTCGCTGAAGATGGATGTATTTTTGCTCTGTGCTTAGTAAACTGAATTTTCCTTGTAACCTGACGTCTCCAGAGTCCATGATTTTACAGAGCTGTATCTGGTGTATTTGCTTCTGTCAAGTTGTGCCTTAGCTTGACAGACCCCAGGTTGAGAACCACTGCCCTAAACGGTTCTGGCTCAACCTATCTATTCAAACGCATCTCTCCTTATGAACCATCTAGGACTTTAAGATCATCTGGGGAGGCCCTGCTCTCGATCCTGCCTTTGTCACAAGTACGCCTGGTGGGGACAAGAGACAGGGCCTTCTCAGTGGTGGCCCCTCGGCTATGGAACGCCCTCCCTATAGATATTAGATTGGCCACCTCCCTTTCAACATTCCAGAAAAATGTTAAGATGTGGCTTTTTGAACAAGCGTTTCCAAATGCAGAGTAACTGACATGGAAAAATGGAATGATGACAATGAGACCGGAAATTATTTTTAACAAGGAGACACTATGAATTTATATTTTTAATTCTGTTATGGTTTTATATTATACTAGCCGTCCCCTGCCATGCATTGCTGTGGCCCACATGGGGGTTCTGTGTGGAAGGTTTGGCCCAATTCTGTCATGGGTGGGGTTCAGAATGCTCTGTGATTGTAGGTGAACTATAAATCCCAGCAACTACAACTCCCAAATGTCAAGATTCTATTTTCCCCAAACTCCACCAGTGTTCATATTTGGGCATGAGTATTCGTGTAGAGTTTGGTCCAGATCCATCATTGTTTGAGTCCACAGTGCTCTCTGGATGTAGGTGAACTACAACTCCCAAACTCAAGGTCAATGCCCACCAACTTCTAGTGTTTTTTGTTGGTCATGGGAATTCTGTGTCCCAAGATTGGTTCAGTTCCATCATTGGTGGAGTTCACAATGCTCTTTGATTGTAGGTGAACTATAAATCCCAGCAACTACAACTCCCAAATGACAAAATATTTTTTTTTGAGTGAAGGACATACATTGCGTTGTTAGGTGTCTTGTGTCCAAATTTGGTGTCAATTCCCCCAGTGGTTTTTGAGTTCTGATGGTATCACAAACGAACATTACATTTTATTTATATAGATATTACTATTTTTACTTATATTTATGGTATTTTGAGCATCGAATTGTTGCCTTGTAATCTGCCTTGAGTCACCTGCGGGCTGAGAAAGGCGGTACACAAATACAGTAAATAATAAATAAATAAATAAATGTTCCATGGTCTTGTCAGAACTCTTGGTCCATTTCAACAAGTTACATTGTCTACTGAGCAACCCTAAAGTTCAAATGAAGACCTGGACTGGATCGGTGCCCTCCTGACATGGAATCCAATAGCTTTTACTGTTTATTTTATTTTTTAATTCAACTGCAAGTTGTGTTTTTAGTCATTTCCCATATATAACTACACTATCACTTTTAGGTTTTGTCCATACCAACAACAGGTCCATGTTCCAGTCCATATTTCTTCAAAAGGGCCAAGATTTCACCATCTGTCATCTGTAGTTTGGACTTGTCCACAATGCTACCTAGAAAGTGCAGAGGGCAATATGAGGGGTGACCCAAAGGTTTTTTAAAAAAATGTAAATACATCTGTTGTGTCTCCACATTTATTTTTTCTATTCCCTCTATTATAAGGTATCAGAAAAGGAGAATCCACCCAAACATCAAGGTCAATTTCCTAAAGGTAAGAGCTATTTAACAGTAGAATGTGCTGCCATGGAATCTGATGGAGTCTCCTTTAGAGGTTTTTAACCAGAGGCTAGATGGCTATCTGTTGGAAGTGCTTTGATTGTGTGTTCCTGTGTAGCAGAAGGGATTTGGACTGGAAGACCCTTGGAGTCTCCCCTCTCCCCTGCTTTAAAGCTCTCCTGGCAATTGCTCCCCCCCCCCAGTCAAGGTGTGGCCATACAGAGGCCGGTAGAAAGCAGGAAGCGGCAAAAGTATGATAGCTGGGACCCTACTTTGGTTGCGCCCCATGGGTCAAAATTCATGAACGGAACACGTGCGCGAGACAGCGCAGCGAATGAGAGATGCAGCTGCGAGGGAGGGAGGAGGAGGGGGTCTACAGCTCACATGTCCTGCCGTCCCGGAGCCCCGGCTCCTCCACTGTCTGAAAGCGGGTGAGGGAAAGCACAAGAGGAGAAGGGGAATCCGGTTACTGCCACTCTGTTCACACTAGGGCTTTGTAAAAAACTTCCCCGGCTGCCAGCACACTTTTTGCCCTTCGAAGAAAGCCCTAAACGGACTTCCCTTCACTAATTCTGACGCACGTTGCACAACCAGCGTACAGGTTCCAGCTATACAAAGGGTCCCAGCTATCATACTTTTGCCCAGGAAGCATCCAGGAAGAATCAGACAGAAAGATATTAAGCTCCAGAGGATTCCTGGGAAGGCCTGATTGAAGTGTTCACTGTCATATTGTTTTTCCTTACTGGGTTTCTTTCTTCATCAGAAAATAGCCACAGATTGTCAGGAATTGTGGAAGGAGTAAGTGAAACCTACTTGGAGTAAAGGCAGTGCTGCCTTTATTGTATTGCCCTCACTCTGCATAAAGCCAAGTTTTTAACTTTGTGATTTTTCTATACATTATAACTGTATTCTCAATTTGTTTCTGACACAAATTTCGCCTGCATCTATGGCAAGCATCCTCAGAGGTAATGATCCTCACTACCTCTGAGGATGCTTGCCATAGATGCAGGTGAAACGTCAGGAGAGAATGCCTCTAGAACATGGCCATATAGCCTGAAAAAACCTACAACAACCCAGTGATTCCGGCCATGAAAGCCTTCGACAATACAGCTGACAATTTGATCACAAAGTTTGTTAATGACCTCTTATCTGCACCTTTACTCCACAATTCTGTGCAAACATAAACACGTGGAAAGGTAAGTTTTTGTGTCTTGTGTTTGTGACTTTTTGTACAAAGTCTGCTTACTTGTGTGGACTGCTGGACTTCTGGATAGAGGCTGCCGTTGTCCCAGTGTTTTCTCATATTCATATATTTTCTTTTCATACAGTTTCCGAGTTGTTCCTAGAGAGTGGAATCAAAGCCAGTGATTATGCACGCCATGGATGTCCCATTCCAAACTCTTACTTTGCTCACAACTTTCTCTATCTTTTGCCAGATATTATTGGACAGCATTTCCCATCAGTCCAAGTCAGCATAACTAAAATTTCAGGAACCAGGAAGCGTGCAGCCCAACAACATCTGGAGAACTGCAATAATGCTGGTCACTGATCGAAATAAAAATGTGTTCGCTTGTTCGTTCATGCCTCTGGTTCCTTTTGCCTTCCTGTGATTGAAAGTCACTCAAATGATTGGGAGAAGCATGTCTTTACCCACAAGTGCCATTCAACAATCAGAAATAGCTGATTCACATCCACCTCTTCCAATTATAATGCAATTAAAATATTTTTTCTAGTCTCTGCCTTCAAGTCTCTTATTTATTTGCAAATTCACTTTCCTTCTCTTCTGAAGGTCAAACATGGGAACAGCCTTGAGTTTTGAAATATTAGTCCTACAAAAGGGGAGGAGACACACACACACATATATAACAGCTGAAGAGGTGTAATTATGAGGGGAGATTAACCACCCCCCATTGTGATGATCTGTTGCTACACGCAATTAGGTTTCAACAGCATTTTATCCGATTCTAGATATTACGTAATGCCCATCAGTATCACCATCTGGTTCATGTTCCACTGTTTAATTGTATTTTGTTGTTGTATGCCTTCAAGTCATTTCTGAATGATGTTGACTCTACCATAGGGTTTTCTCAGGCCAAGAATGTGCAATTTGCCTAAGGTCACCCAGTAGGTTTCAATGTCTGAGCAGGGAATCGAATCTTGATTTCAAAAACCATTCAATACTCAAATTACTATATGACATTGACTTTTCTAGCCCTTACCAAAGCTATCATATGGAGCAAAACATGGTTTCATTCTATAGGTCAAACTGTTCTACAATTAAAAAGCAGTCCACCTGGGAATTTCAAGCTTGTGTGATGCTAGGGTGGTCAGTGTGAGAACAAGCAAAAGGCAACAGCATCAGATGTCCCGTTCCCCCCCCAAAACTGAGCAAGCCATTGGTCCTTTTCACTAGTCCATGATGTGGCCACTATGAGGAGTGGAGAAGGTGCGGTAAGAGCAGAAGAGTGCAGATAGAGGCAGGGTTCAATATTCCAGTTTGCGGTAAATGAGTCCAAGTAATGATAAAGAATATGTGTAGCTTTTCTGATGAACTAACTCTACATTTATTTGTTTCAGCAGTATGGTGTGGGCATGCAAACAGTTTAGTCACACATGCATCCTGCTAAGTTACATGTGCATCAAAGAAAAACAGCAGTTTTTCCATTTGATATGTACTATATAACATAACCCCCCCCTTTTTTTTAACTCCTTCAGCTTGGTAACCCTGTTTTACTTCCTAGATCAGTGCTTCTCAATCTTCCTAATGCTGTGACCCCTTAATACAGTTCCTCATAATGTGGTGACCCCCAACCATAACATTATTTTTGTTGCTACTTCATAATTTTTCTACTGTTATGAATCGTAATGTAAATATCTGATATGCAGGATGTATTTTCAAATCTCAAGTACCCGATATGCCCAAATTTGAATACTGGTGGGGTTGGGGGTGATTGATTTTGTCATTTGGGAATGTTGGAGTCGCTGGGATTTATAGTTCACCTAAAATCAAAGAGCCTTCTGAACTCTACCAATGATGGAATTGATTCAAACTTGGCACACAGAATTCCCATGACCAAGAGAAAATACTGGGAGGGTCTGGTGGACATTGACCTTGAGTTTTTGGAGTTGCAGTTCACCTAGATTCAGAGAACACTGTGGACTCAAACAATGGTGGATCTGGACCAAACTTGGCACAAATACTCAATATGCCCAAATGTGAATACTGGTGGAGTTTGGGGAAAATAGACCTTGACATTTGGGAGTTGTAGTTGTTGGGATTTATAGTTCACCCACAATGAAATAGCATTCTGAACCCCACCAATGATAGAATTGGACCAAACTTCCCACACAGAACCCACACGACCAACAGAAAATACTATGTTTTCTGATGGTCTTTGGCGACCCCTCTGACACCCCCTTGCGACCCCCACAGGTGTCCCGACCCCCAGGTTGAGAAACATTGTCCTAGATAGAGTTTACGTTCTAAGGGTAAGTGGCATTTCTACCATTCTTTTATCTAAAAATTTTGAATATAATTAGAAGGATACTGTGAGTACAAGTCATTTATTTGAGCCATAGTCATTACTGTTTTGTTGCCTTTCTGAAAGCCACTCTCCAAATGCTTGTAAACATGCTTCACTGATTCTAGAAGAAAGCAAATAGGGCATACCAACTAAGGGCCCATGTGGGAGGCCATATTTCTTCAGTCGGGCAAGAAGTTCATCGTCTGTCAGAGATACGTAGTTCTTGTCCATGGTGCTATCTACAAAAGGAAGTGGGGGAAATTGCTATAGTCAGTGACCTAAGGGGATAACTTAATAGATGAACAAGTTAACGCAAAATAATAATAAAAAACCACGTCAGAAGCAAAACTGATATAAATTAAACTAGCCATTCCCTGCCATGCGTTGCTGTGGCCCAGTCTGTTGATCTGGAAAATAAAATAATGAGAAAATGTTGGTTTCTAATATATGTAATTTCTTTATGCTTGTGGGTAAACAATATTTCTTGCTGTTTTTTCGTCAGTGTTGATGTAGAGATTGTCTGGTTTGCCCACCCTGGAACATGCAACCTATCATTGTCCTTCTTTAAGGGTCCCTTTCAAATCTACGATACTATATCTGTGTGTGTATGAATTATATCTATCTATCTATCTATCTATCTATCTATCTATCTATCTATCTATATCTATGGCTGGATGGCTATTTGTGAGGACGGCTTTGATGACGTTTTCTTGCCCTGATGAAGGGAGTTGGATTGGATGGCCTTAAGTATTTTCTGTTGGTCATGGGGGTTCTGTGTGGGAAGTTTGCCCCAAATCTGTTGTTTGTGGGGTTCAGAATGGTCTTTGATTGTAGGTGAACTGTGAATTCCAGTGATTACAACTCCCAAATGTTAAGGTCTATTTCCCCCAAACTCCATCTGTGTTTATATTTGGACGTATTGAGTCTTTGTGCCAAGTTTGGTCCAGATCCATCATTGTTTGAGTCCACAGTGCTCTCTGGATGTAGGTGAACTACAACTCCCAAACTCAAAGTCAATGCCCACCAAACCCTTCCAGTATTTTCTGTTGGTCATGGGAGTTCTGTATGCCATGTTTGGTTCAATTCCATCACTGATGGAGTTCAGAATGCTCTTTGATTGTAGGTGAACTATAAATCCCAGCAACTACAACTCCCAAATGAGAAAATCATAATTTTTGAGTGATGGTCACTCTTTGTGTTGTGAGATATTTTGTTGCCAAATTTGGTGTGAGTTCGTTCATTGGTTCTTTTGTTTTTAAGGCACTCATTATGCACAGAGCATTTATATATATATATAGATAGATTGTAATTGTAATGTAATAAACAACTACCATAGAGTTAGCAAAAATATTATCATATCAGAAGCAGAATATAGGTTAAATTGTAATAAACAACTACCATGGATTTAGCAAAATTAAAACATACCGCTAATGTCAAGATATGGACGACTTTTTTTGCTATTTATAATAATATGTGTTTATGGTTACTCTAGTAATTCTATTAGGATTACGGGTACTTAAGTGGATCTGTAATCATCTATTTTTCTTTCTTTCTGAATGTTTTCCTATTATAGTTTGAATTGGAGAGTCAGGGCCCTTTTGTGTTTATATCAGATAGTGTTTAGTGCACATCTTTCCAAACTGTGTGTTGTGACACTGTGGTGGTGGATAAATATTATGAGAAATGACAACAGTCTTGGAAATATATGTTATTATCTTACAAATCACATACCTTTAAAATATATATATGAAAGGCTTTCACGAGCTACATTGTGTCCCTGAGCAATTCATTATTATAATGTATGTTTCCACGTCTCTTACAAGGGCTGGTGTGCTAGTAAAACTGAATTACTATGCTGTGAAATGATGCATGTTCAAAAAGTGTGTCACGAACATGATATGTTTGGAAAGCTCTGGTTTATTTTCATTTTGTATTGTGTTTTAGTTTAGTTACAACTATATTTTTCATCTTTTAGGGCCCTTCCAGATAAGCCCTATATCCCAGGATCTGATACGTTTTCTGTTTATCCCAGATTATCTGGCTGTGTGGTCTCATATAAATCAACTTAAAGCAGAAAATCAGGATCAGATCCTGGCCTGGAAGGGCCCTTAGTTTCTTTCCTTCTTCCTTCTTTTTCTTGGATGTACTGTATATTGTTTTGACTTTGAATGGGATTATATGTCATAATAAATAATCTTTTTTAAAAAACAGTCGTTCAAATGACAGCTATTTCTTATTATATTTTCCTGTTTCTATTATTTTAACAATGACCTTGAAGCTAAACTTAGGCTAGTGACAAGCTGGACTGCAATCATTTTCTTTCAAAGAGTGACTCTACTAGGTGCTCACTTCACCAGAATGATTTTGGAACAATAATGCCAGTCTCTCACCAAATCTACTTGATAAGGAAGCCAAAAACAAAGCAACAACAACAAAAAACAGCCCTAGGTCTGATTTCACTGGTCTCACCAAAGTATTATTTATTATTATGTTTATTTATATCTCGCTTTTTCTCTCCACAAACGAGTCTCAAGGCAAATTACATTAAAAGCATTTCAAGAAAATTAAACATCAAAGGTATTAATTAAATATTATTTTTATTTGATACATAACAAGATTAGTACACAGCAAACAAGATCACTATGCTGGCTTTTGTGTCTGATCACACATTGGACACTTCCCAACTGTCTAGGATTGTGTGATGTATCGGTGAATAATGCGTGCAAATCAGAATAGGGTGCAAATGCCGAGTAGGGTATAAATACAGTAAATAATAATAATAATAATAATTTACTGCATTTATACCCCACTCTTCTCACTCCGAAGAGGAGGCTGAGTGGCCTTACAATTGGCAACAATTTGATGCCACATAAAACAGACATATAATAAAATAAACATATACATTAAAACATAAAATTAAAAAGCATAAACATGAAAACTAATTATTAAAAACAACACAATCCGAAATCATAGTCAAAGGCCATTCCAGTCGTGATTGCACATTCTTCCATTTTCACTCATTGCACTGCATTACTGTCCGAAGGCTTGGTCCCACAACCATGTTTTTAATTTATTTCTGAAGGTCAGGAGGGAGGGAGCTGATCTGATTTCAGTGAAGAGGGAGTTCCATAGCCGAGGGGCCACCACTGAGAAGGCCCCGTCCCTCGTCCACACCAACCCCCCACCTGCGAATGAGGTGGGACCGAGAGTAGGGCCTCCCCAGAAGATCTTAACCTCTGAGGCGGTTCATAGAAGGAGATACATTCGGACAGGTAAGCTGAGCCAGGACCATTTAGGGTTTTACAGTATATGCTAAAGCCAGCACTTTGAATTGTGCTCGGTAGCAGACTGGCAGCCAGTGGAACTGACGTAACAGGGGATTGAACGCTCCCTGTACGCCGCTCCAGTGAGAAACCTGGCTGTCACCCGTTGGACCACTTGAAGCTTCCGAAAAATCTTCAAAGGCAACCCCACATAGAGTGTGTTGCAGTAGTCTATTCGAGATGTTACAAGAGCATGGACAACCATGGCCACATCTGGCTTCTCAAGCTATGAGTGCAACCAGCGCACAAGTTTTAATTGTGCAAAAGCTCCCCTGGCCACTGCCGAGACCTGGGGTTCCAGGCTCAGTGATGAATCCAGGAGAACTCCCAAACTGCAAACCTGTGTCTTCAGGGGGAGTGTAACCCCATTCAGCAAAGGCTTTGACCCTATACCATGTTTAGCCTTACAACTGACCAGGAGTACCTCTGTCTTGTCTGGATTCAATTTCAATTTGTTCACCCTTATCCAGATCATGACAACTGCCAAGCACCGGTTCAGGACCCGAACAGCCTCCTTAGCTGTAGATGGAAAGGAGTGATAGAGTTGAACGTCATCTGTATACAGATGACATCGACATATTAACAGTTTAAACCCCTAAAACTGATTAAAAATGTATCCAAAGCTAAAACCACAGCTCCCAATGCATAGATGGGACTATGCAGAGAGAAGATATTTAAATGGAGACACTGGTGAACTTTTGTCAGCCTTTCTAGTTGCCAGCAATGCATGACTCAGGGGGAAAATGCATGCGTGAGCACCGTGCGACACTAGTTTTGCAGCCAAAAAAAAGTTATCAAAACACTGAGAAATAGATAAAAGGAAATATTTCAGAAGAAAATAAAAGCAAGCAACAAGAGAAGGCTCCCCTGAGCAACAAAGCTGAATTGTCAAAGACCTGCTGAAATCGAAAGTTCTTTGTTTGCCATCTGCAAGACAAAGTTACCAGGTTTCTTCCTTGGGTGGGGTTGTCCAACAGGTATCTGGGCAGAGCAACAAGGAAATACATGGAGAGGTTGTATGTATGTGGAACAAGTACCGTATATTCTGGCATGTAAGACTATTTTTTAGCCCAAGAAAATCTTCTCAAAAGTCAGGGGTCATCTTATATGCGGGAGTCATCTTATACGCAGGAGTAGTCTATACACGGGTCATCTTATACGCTGGAGTAGCCTTATGCATGGGAGTCATCTTATATGCGGGAGTAGTCTTATACGCTGGGAGTCGTCTTATACGCTGGAGTAGCCTTATATGTGATAGTCGTCTTATATGCGGGAGTAGTCTTATACGCTGGGAGTTGTCTTCTAGAGTGGGTGCTGAAACTTCCAATCCGGATTGGAGAATCTGTGGTTGCTGCATAATGTGGGGGGAGCTCAAAAATGGCAGTGGCCGCCCCCCTGCTGTATGCAGCGACTGTATGAAAGCATTAAGGGCGACGCTGTACAAGTATGGTAGAAGAAAATCCATTCATCAGGATTCGTGGACTTAATGCGGTCCCGATGGTGAGGTGAAGGGGTGCCTCACCGGGAAGGTGTAAGTGAAGGGCGGAGCAAGCTGCAGGCGTCCGGGGTGCCCAGGGTATGGAAAAACGAGAGAGAGTGGCTCTGGGCCCAGAAAAACACAATTCTTTAACCTGTCTGGCCCGCCCTTGTATCCTATTACTGTACCTCCCCTTCTGCCTCTCAGACCTTGCTCCTGAAGACTGCAGGTACGCATGTGCGAGGTCTGAGAGGCAGAGAAGGAGGTACAGTAATAGGAAAATTACCATATTGAAATCAAATGTGATGCTTTAATTTTTTTTATTTGGTGTGTGTTGGAAGAGGGATAGTCTTATACGGCGAGTACATCCCAAACTCTATATTTTAACTGGAAAAGTTGGGAGGTCATCTTATATGCTCAGCCGTCTTATATGCT